TCAAATAATGTTTCATGCTTCTAACTTCACATTTCAAGGATTATTTTAATATTATTTTTATATAACTAACAAAATATGTATAAAAAATACATTAATTTATATTTCGATTTCTTATCTTCAAATACACGCATTTCAAACAAAAATTTAGTTGGATAATGCTCAATTTACAGAAATGATTTCTGAAAATGGTTAACCTACTGTTGTTCAATCTACTGTTCACTTCAATTGCTTACTTTACATAATATAATTATGAAAATGAAACATATCCAAAACCACCTGTTAAGGAATGCAATTCACGATACACGATATTTCATACATGATGAGGATAATATTGAAATATTTCATTACATATTATAATTGCAAGAAATAACAACTTCAAATTGTTCAAATTGTTCAAAATATATTTGTCAATATATATTTGTCAATTGTCAATATATATTTCATATAAAAATTCGTGCAAAATAAAATAAATATTTCAAATAATATTTCAATACGAAAATAAATAATTATTTCAAATTGATTAATACCAATAATATTAAAGTTTAAGAAGTATAACCTATAAATATTTTTATTTCTTATTTGAAATACTATTTTATCCAGTATTTTGGTTAAAATTTTAGAAAAAATTTACGATTACGTACGTACTTCATGAATTTTCGGTTAACCATGATTAAATCGCTTTTCATTCTCATAATATTTACCTTCACCTCGAAATTTATTCGCGCATGATTGCATCCGGCTTGCTAATTGGCGGGCAAAAGTAGAAATCAACCGACTTCGTTTCAAATGACCCGATTAACGGTGGGAACAGGGTTACGTCACTTTACCATTTGAGAAATTGCCGAACGTCTCGTCCACGTGTCCCTCGACGTTTACGAGAACGTAAATGTACTATTCATTACCCCGATGACGTTTTTACAGATACAGATAAACTGTGCTTTAAATTTTCAGTTGAAGTTTTATGCTCGCGAATAATTTCATACTGATTCTACTTTAATTTCGACTTCCGTAAAATTAAGAAAAATAAAGATATGTTTGATGTAAATGAATAGAAATAAATATTTTGTTCGAATAATATAAAGGCAGCTTATATGACATCATTATATGAATATTATATAAAATTATAGAATATTCGTTCGAGTGAATATTGTATACGTATACATTATAATATACACACTATAATAAAATACATTACAGAATTATAGAAAAAAAAATAATTAGAAACATAAAATTTTGATAAAATATTTTAATTCTATTTTCAACTTTTATGAAGAACTGAGGAAAATAGATTTTTAATAAAATAAATAATATTTTTATTTTTTCGAATAAATATAAATGTTATATTGTGAATGAAAAAATAAATCGAAAATGTAGAGTAAAATTTTTTCATTTAAAGTCTCATATTCAAGTAAAACAAGAATATTTTAAATTTTCAAGCTAAAACTATTTTCCGATTAGATAGGAATTAATTATCTGTTAGATGGTTATTTTTTATAACGTTTTACTTTACAATTATAAAATAAAATTTTATAATTTAAATAAACTTTATAATTCTTATTTTTGAGAAAATTGACATGAATATATATATATATATATATATATATAATAAATCTATATGTTAATTTTACTAATTCTCTTATTTT